GTTTACGGGCCACATCCATCAGCCTAGAGACAGAAGAGGGTTTATGTTTGTCTGTATAAAATAAGAGTTACAGTAGATCAGAGTTACAGTAGATAAGAGTTACAGTTACAGTTACATGTAAATACAGCTGGTGAAGTTTCTGGTAAAAGGCAGCGGAAAACAGCGTTTAATGTACACTATCTATAATCGATGTGTGTGTGTGTGTGTGTGTGTGTGTGAGAGTGTCTAACAGGGGACCTTGGTGTTGTTACACACTCACCAACAGGGGACCTCCGAGGCAAGTGGGGACATTTTTCAAGTCCCCTGTTGGTCATGCTTTAAAACATGTTAAAATCAGATAAAAAACGCTCTGGTTAATTTTGTAAATTTTTGACCAAGTGGGGACCTGGATATGTGTGTGACGTGTGTGTTTAAGCCCATACTCAGCAGCGCTCCTGTAGGCTGGAGCAGGAACTGCGACTCCCATTAACACACGTCGTTCACACTTCTCTATGGTTTGAATGGCTTTCTGTCCGAGAGAGGCTCTGAGACTGTAGAGCTGATGCATAGTTCAGGAAGCTTGTTTATAACTACTAGACCAATTATAGATTTTTAAAAAATTATCTTTAATATTATTTCAAGACAAATACTAAATAAATTAAATACCACTATGTTACAGCATAGTATATAAGATAACAGAAATTATTTATGGATCATTCGGGTAATCTAACTTTGCATTAAATTAATATGAAACTTTATTTCAAATTGAAATTTAATTTTTTTAACGTTTTTAAAAATATATACTCAACCAAGATAAAATGAAATAAAACTGCCATCAATAGGGGGAAACCCAACGCAACCGAACAGCTGTCGCACAATACCGGGTCAAAACTCTTATATTGACTGGCTGCACTGAAAATGTTCAGCTGGCTTAATCAAATTATGTGAACTGTCTTTTAACCCTCTGGGGTCTGAGGTGTTTTCAGGGTCCTTGAGATGTTTTGGCATGCTCTGACATTTCTGCTTTTTTCAGTTGCTTATAAACATATTAATGGCACAGGTGAAATTACACTCTATATAGCACACACAGGGCTACCATAATATGTGAACAACATGTTAATACATGTTTGTATTTTTGAGAGAATATTGTTTATGCGTGGTTTTTGAAAAAACTAAAAAATAAAGTTTCTAATATAAGGCCACAAATAACATACTAAATATCTGTCCACAAGACTTTTGACTAGTGGATGTTGTCGCCTAGAGTTTTTGCTTCGAATTGATCTGAAAATCATTCTGCCTAATCATTCACATAAAACAATAGATTGTTTTAAATTGTGAAAAACATTTTTTTGTTTGCAAAGGCAATATGCGGATGGGCGGAACGGCCCAACCCCCTCATGAATAATTAGGCAGTTCTCACCTGAGCAGACTGCATACTAATGAGCCTTTCATTCAGTGGTGTCACACAAGAAAGAATGCAAGGACAATATATATATATAAATAAATAAATATGTATACACACACACACACACACACATATATATATATATATATATACACTACCGTTCAAAAGTTTGGAGTCAGTGAGAATTTTATTTTTATTTTTTGGAGGAAAGAAATCAATACTTTTATTTATCAAGGAATAATTAATTTGATCGAAAGTGACAGTAAAGACATTTATAATGTTACAAAAGTCTTATGAACTTCCTATTCATCAAAGAATCCTAAAAAAAACAAAAAAAACTGTACAACTGACAGACCAACAACTGTTTCAACATTGATAATAATAATAAATGTTTCTTGAGCATCAAATCCTCATATTATACTGATTTGTGAAGGATCATTTGACACTGAAGACACTGACACTGGTGATGCTGAAAATTCAGCTTTGATCACAGGAATAAATTACACTTTACTATATATTCACACAGAAAACAGCTGATTTACACTGGAATAATATTTAATACTATAACTGATTTTTGTTGTATTTTTAATCAAATAAGCGCAGCCATGGTTAGCAGAAGAGAATTCTTTTAAAAGTATTTAAAATCGTACCGAACCCAAACTTTTGAACGGTAGTGTATATATATATACAAACAATCAAAATATAAATGAAAGCCAAAAGCACATTTTTAGCCATCCACCGCGGTAAAAATAAACCAGTCGCATTTCAAAGTCGTTCGCGAAATGACCGCCAGGTGGCGCAAAGGGACATTTAGCAAAACGTAAGTGGGGCTAATGTCTGTAGCCTATAAGGATGAAATACTACAAGTTATGGTAATTTCCAAATAAGCCTACAACAAACATTTATAGCCTACTCCGTAATTGTTGGTCATACAGATAAGATATAATCTTTTAAAACTGTAAAAGGCTAAAGTATAGGCCTACACTCACAGGCTAAATGAAAAAATCGCTCATGTGAGAAACAGACGTTTGGGTATTTCTCAGTGAGTAAATTCATAGCCGAGCGGTAGAACTTAGGGTTCATCATCAAGATGACACGGGTTCAAATCCCGCACAAACATGGTCTGCTGTAAATTTTATATTTATTTAGATTTGTCTAGCTCTAAAACTCTGTTACACCATACAGTTTTTTTTGCTTATATTTATAAAATACAATTATCATGCATTTCCATTTTACACTAAGGAACAAAATAGTATCCAACAGAACGACTTTGCATCTGTATAATAATAGGCTACCAATCGTAATTTCAAAAGCAGTTCTGTAAAAAAAATTATTATATATAGCCTATATATATATATTTTTTTTTTTTTTCAGGGCTGCCAACTCTCACGCACTGAGCGTGAGACTCACGCAATTGACCCAAATCTCACGCTCTCACGCCACACCCCCGATTTCTCCCGCTGAAGTGTCAACCCGGTCGGTCAAATTCCTAAAAGATATAGTTTATCTATAGATCTACCTGTTGAGCCACTCGTGATCGACTAGTTATACCGCAAATTAGTTAAAATATCCCGTAATCTATCTAGAGCGAGCGTGCATGCGAGACAGATATTGTGCTCCAAACCGTGCGCGCGCATGGCAGAGAGGTCTGTTCCCTACAACCTAGAGTTTTAAAAAACATGGTTTTAAGTAAAGTGTGATTTGCCAGGGGGGATTGGGATTTCCTTCTGGTCTAAACATCCCTGCTTCTGCTGAATTATTTTAATCCCCCCCGTAATTTTTTGGTCATACAGATAAGAGTAGAGTAGCTTACATCGTTCAAAACTGTAAACTTGTATTCATATAGGCTAACGACAAAAACAGTATATCTGTCACTGCGCATCACAAAAAATGAACCGAAAGCCACTTCAGCTCAGTCACGATAAGAAATCGGCGATGTCTAAAGCCTTTAAATGTCTAAATATTTAGGCTAATAAATGTTATCTGATTATGTAGGCTAATCCATATGAAAACGAGAGGTACCGAGGATCTACTCAAACATGCAATGTAAGCGCTTCCCAATGAGAAAATGACAAGACAAGGGTGAAAATCTCGCTCTTATTAAATGTAGGCTAAATCGCCCTGAATTAAAATGTAAAAACAGATCAAATAATGTATTTGTCGAAATGTTGCGATATTGTTTCATTTAAGTTCATAATTGTTCTATAATTGTTATTTAATTTAGCAGCATTACCACGAAGCACCGTGTTTCGATATTTATTTGAATAATACAAAATAAAATAAAAACTTAATTCACAAATTGCATGCCTGGTTGTAAGGATCCAAAGATCCCTGTAGACTTTAATATTGATTTGAACATTTTGTTCATGACAACAAATTAACATGCGTTTTTTCAGATTATATTTAGTTTTGCTTGGAAAAAGCTGGCCCAAACCAGTTTTATTTCATCAATTATTGAAATAATGAAATATTTAGTAATAAACTTTTATGACAGAAATATCACTAGGCTACATGTAACTTAAATCATTTAATTCCTTCATTATCAACACTGTCTAGAATAGCGATTTAAGTGTGAATTGCGACTTCTCTTTGTGTTAAATCAGCCTCAGACTCCGATAGCCTGTGGGGGGGTTGGAGGGACATTGCTGGACAAAGGTGTTAATGTTCCTCCTTCATATGGAGAGTGTCGGATAGCCAGCCTGATGAGCAGGCAAAATTATTGTGAGGATAAATCTGTGTCCAAATGTAGGCCCCATATCTTATTAAATTATAAATATTGTAGTTTATTTATTGTAGCCTATTTAAAGTTTTTTTTCACACAAAATTTCAATTGAAGTTATTGTAAGGTGAATTCAACAAGGCGTGCTGTGTCTTTGAAGCAACAATTAAAGGCTAAATAATTTTTTCGTGATTTGTATGGCTGACACGCAGCGACATATACAGTATTATCAGCTGTATGATGTGTTTTTACCCTGAAATGATTAATTTCGAGAGAGACCCGGCGCGCGCAGCGAGGGAGACTAAATAAACTTGTTAAAAAGAGATCCAGCGCGAGAGAGGCAAAGAGAAACGCATGTTTTTAATTTAATTATGTTTCTTTGGACAATTTTCGTTTTGTACTGTTTTAATTGTTTAATTTAGCTGTAATTTCTTTGGCAATACAAATTTAAAATGTCGCAAGAATAAGATTAGCCTAGTGTTTCTTATTTTGCATCGCAAAAGAAATAAACTCTAAACCCGATGCAACCCTGTTTTAAATTAAAAAAATTAAACCTTGAAATGTTCGAACTTGGTTTCAAACTTAAGTAATTTTAGTGTTCTTTTACATTACACAATAATTTAGCAGACTAAAGACGAGCTTCTTCATTTTCATTTTCTGACGCAATCGGCTGACAATCTTCCTTCATCAGTTTTTGTCGTTTGTGCAGCGGCTGCGGTTCTACAGGAATGTAGCAAATTTATGTTGTAATGATAATTAAACAAAACTCTTGACTTTAAATAAGTAAACAGTTATAAACAGTTACCTATTTAAGCATCAAGGTGGTAAAATATAAACGCTGTAGGACAACATCGGTTAACAACATGTATGCTACATTGAGATTCGATCTCGGGTCGA